ACATGGGGGACAGTCATGGGGTTTCTTTTTACTGCTTGTTGTCCTTTCGAGGCCTGCAGAAGAAGGGGGCCATCCCTGAGCCTGTAGAGTTTTCTCACGTGTTCTACTGCTTTTTGGACCATTGAGGCTCCCTGGGGGTGGAGGTGGGATCTCACCACTTCCAGAGATGGTTGATTTTCTGGCTTGCAGACCAAGGGTTTGTGAAATGCCCTCTGTTGTCAGTGTGTGTTTGTCCTGAGAGGCTTTAGGGCCCTCCAAAGGGAAAGCTTTATGCAAGACGAATAAACATCAAAAGCACAAGATAGTCAAAGCAGTTATTGTGTCTCCCTAGTGAGCTGGGGTTACAGTTCAGATATGTGCCAGGACAGTATCTATCTGACCCACTATGCAGAACAAATAGGGTTTGGAAAATTACACTGTGCCTTCTGGCAACAGACTGCTATAGGGAGGATTATCTGTTCATGTTACCATGGGAATTGGGCTCTGCACACAATAAACTTAATACAGAAGAAGTTTGGAGTAGATACAGCTTTGACATCTTTAAAAGACATAACAAAAGTTTTTAGAAATTGGATTAAATGGTGAACATTATAGTAACACCTACAAAGGTATTCAGCAGGAGAGTTCAGTACTTGGGTAATAGCAGCAACATGTATCCTCAGTCCTGGTTACAACAGCCTTGTCTCTGAAGACCATAGTCTGAGTACATGGCACAGGGGTGAGGACTGCCTGCAGTCAGATGGATTAATACAGCTGTCACATTAAATTACATGATTACTGAAAAATACTGTGGGTGAGGCAGTGTTAGATGGGGAAAAGAGATGGGTAAAATAAAGTTTGGGGTATGTGAAGGATGGAGATGGAGAGAAAGAATTGAAAATAGCATCATTCCTTTGTTTAAAAATCAGATTTCTATAGTCATATGCTGTGAACATTTATTGTGCTATTAATTATTAGAAGAAAATTCTAAACCAGATGTTAGACAGCAAAGGCTGGAAAGTTAGTTCCCCAGCTTGGTGCAGGCCTGGCACATGTGCTTGCTCATGCCTCTCCCATGTTTGCCAGTCTGTGCCTGCACCCCCTGCACCCTTCTTCTGCCATGGCTGATGCTGCTCTGGCAGCTGTGGGCATCACTGGTGTGACCACCACCTGGGTGCCCTCATCTCCCTCTTCCAGGTTTGGGGGAAGGGGGCTGTGCACAGTGCAATCCCCAGAGAGGTTAATTGCTGCCTGCTGGCCCCCAGCACTCTTCAGTGTGTATAAGCACAAGTTATAATTTTAATTTTGCTTATTTAAACCTTCTTCATGTTCAGACCTTCCAAATGGTGCCGACTTCTTCCAGCCAAACCCAGAGGAAAGGGGAGGTCATTCTGCAAATGTGGTGGGGGGGCAGATTGTATGGGGCAGGGCTGAAGCCGCTCTGGGGCACACAGGGCAGAGCTGCAGTGGATGGCTCTTGATGTTGAGATGAAGTTGCCAGACCTGGGGTGTTTGTAATGGGTGAGGAGATGGTGTTCCCCCAGGAAGGGCTGTGGAGGCTAGGGGCAGGCAGCGCAGGGGTTAGAGCAGATGGAGGGGGTAAGGTCTCTGAGCAGGATCCTCCTGCCCTAATCCCTGTGCAGCTTTTCCCAGAGACCTGAGCACTTCCTAAATGGAAGATGGACTGGATTTTGTTTGATTTGTGTCTAGGGATAGTTGTTGGGAGTGGCATAGTGTTGTGCTGCTGTTAGCATACGTACAGGAACAGTCTGTGGCCCCTGGGAAGCTGTACTTGTGATCCATGTGGTTTCCATCAGAGTGCTCCTCTCTCTGTTTCTGATTTAAAGTGGAGCTTTGACTAAACCTGATCAATATTTTTGCATGCTGTGCGTGAAGGACCAGATGTTGGAAGTTTCCTATTGTTGAGAGGGAGGGGGCAAACACATCCCACACACCACACACACAGAGACACGCACACAGACTTGCAGAAATCAATGTTCTCTGACAGAAGTTGGTTGGTTTTCCAAAGAACAATATATTCTATTGATTTTCAAGTTGATTTATCTTGGTTCTGGTTTAATATTTTGAATTTGTTTTCTGTGATAATGTCCTGGGTTCAGCAGTAGCAGTCATTTTTTCTCCTTCTTGGTAGCTGGTGCAGTGCAGTGTTTTGACTTTCAGCTCAGGAACAGAGCTGATAACAAGGATGTTTTGGTTTGGCCAAGGACTTTGTGAGCCTTATGCTCTGCCAGGGAGGAGGGGAAGACAGGAGGAAGCAGAGACAGGACACCTGACCCAAACTGACCAAAGAGGTATTCCATACCACAGCACGTCATGCCCAGGATGTAACTGGGAGTTAGCCAGAAGGGCTGGGAGACTGCAGGGTTGGAGGAGGTATCGGTCGGAGCTTGGTCGGGCTTGGGGGGCGAGTTATCGGTCAGCGGGTGGTGAGGTGTTGTATTCTGTTCCCTTGTTATTTCCTTTATCATTATTATCATTGGTGGTAGCAGTAGTGATTTGTGTTATACCTTAGTTACTAAACTGTTCTTATCTCAACCCGTGGGAGTTGCATTCTTTTGATTCTCCTCTCCGTCCCTCTGAGAGCAGGGGGAGGGCAAGGAAGGGGGGGAAGTGAGCGAACGAATTACCTGACTGGGTTTAAACCACGACAGATATGGATAAATTCTCACAAGGGGGAAGCTTAACAGTGTGATTGGACAATGACTGCATGTACTTGTCCAGCTTCTTATCTTTTCCACCAACTCACAGCTAGTACTTGATCGTCTATCATGTTGTCTTACTTTGGCCTTCTCCTCTCCTCCATTGGAAGACTGTGAATCAGAGGTAGGCATGTGATGTGCCATGTCCAGGGTGGACTTGGTGGTGTTGGCACCCTCAGGCACAACAGGCAGGTGAAGCTATCACAAAGGATATTTGAACACGCCTGGAGTGGGAGCAAAAGAAGACCAGGAAATAAGACACATTTATTAAACAGTTTAAAACAAATGTTTTCCTAAAATCCCTTTTTAAATGGGAGCAGTACAGGCTGTGCATCTGGTTCCCACAGAGACCGTGTCCTTAGTATTTCCTTGAGCCTGGAACCAGATTTTTCACTAATTGCTCATCAGGGGTTTCCTCTGCCTTCTTGCAGAAGCTGCTCCTCTGCCTGTTGGCACTTCATAAGCTTGAACGCAGTGTTTTCAGGTCGGGGGCTTCCTGACTGCTGGAAGACAAGGCTTGCCATGTATCTCCTGGAGCGAGACCTCCCAAGCCCACAGCACGATGGGGTGGAAGGGAGGTTTTATTGCAGAGGTTGGACCTAAGTGGGGCAGATCAGCTGCTGGTTAAGCTGGGCCATGTGATGCTTACATGGCTCTTGCGACCAGCTCACTAACCTTAGCTTTTTATGTCTTAAGCCATTTCTCTTTTTTTGGCTCAGGAAGTGGGTAATGCATGCAAACAATAGAAATGAGAGGGAGAAGAAGTTCTTATGAGGGAAACCAACAAAAAGTCTTTTGAGGGCACCAGTAGGATTAGTGCCCTAGTGGATCCTTCAAATATTACAGTGAATTTAATTAAATACATCATGATCCCAAAAGAGGCCAGTCTAATTAGCCAGATCTAGAATACATTTATTCTCTTTCCTCACCCTTCTAATCAAACACATCAGCATCAGCTCCTATCCTATTTTCAATCGTTCTTAGACTCAGAGGGCTCTCCTTCCTCTGTGTTAGCTAAGCACACAGCACTGGGTAATATGTGCCTTTAATCTTATCTTAGCTGTAACTGAGATAATACACATCAGATTTTTTACCAGAAGGTCCTGGCTGCATGTAGGCAATATTTTTGATTGATGAACCTTGAGATCATGTCCAAATCACTGTACTATGTGTCTTGAGTGAAATGCATGGTGAGGACAGAGTTTCACGAGATGACCTAGAAGACATAAAGAGGTCTTGGGGTTGGGCAGTGGGAGCTGGCAGGGATTGTTGTATAGCTGAAATGTAGGTGTGTGGTGGAAGCACCAAATGGTCTTCACTGACGAGTCTTGTGTCATTTGACTTTGGTATCCATTTGTCTTCCACTTGTGATAAGCATCACTGTGGGAATCGGAACAGTTACTGTGAACTCAGCCCTGCTGCTTCTGCCACAGCAGCCAGCATAGCTGTAAGCACTGAATTCTTCCCTCTGCTTTTGACAAGTAATTGCCACATCCTTGGGATCCATGACATAAAATAGCTGTTTGTTTCCCTAGCGTGGACCTCTATGCCAGACAATTGATAGATTTTGTTAAATAATCCAGGTATAATACTCCTGAATTAGCCACATTGGCTGTGGTAGCACAGCTTCAGAGGGGGGCAGGGGTTTTCCCAAGTGCTAACCTCTTTTGGTGATACCCAGATGCATGCTCACCGTGGGCTTCTCAGTCTGGATCACTGTCACAGCTGTCTTCCGGGCCAGGCTGCTGCTTTCTTCCACATCCAAGGGAGTAAAATCTAGATGTCAGGGAACAGAGTGCTGGGTGATGGATAGGATGGCACATGTGCTCTGCTTCCATATGCTGTTTCCAGGACCTCTTGATCTGATGGGTTCATTGTGTTCTAGGATTGCTTTGGTTTTATTCTTCCTAGTTTTCAATGAGAATTTATCAAATTTGATTTTATCTGTTTGACATGACGTTGGGTCTCCTCCCAGGATAAACTTTAAATGTGAAAGAATTAACCACACATAGGTCGTGAACAGTTGTTAATGTTGGATCTGCTATTTTCTTTCACTGAAGAAGATGATCTCGCCCATCTCAATTTTTGCTTCTGTGCTCATTTTAGTATGTTATATTTTCTTGCTTCTAAGTGGGAGTGTGTGTGGTACCATGAGAATAAACAGGCTTGATCTTACTGTGTCTGTCAAAATATGGTTTCTTACTTAGTTCCCAGGTGGCTTTTAGCAATTTACAGTGGACTAACCCAGGGAGACTGGACATGGTAAAGGAAATTCACATCTCTCTACTTTGCTCTTCACAGCACCTTCAGCATCACGAGAGCTGGGTTGAAGGTGAAAGCTGCTATTACCACTGTGTCCTCTGTAACTACTCCACTAAGGCCAAGCTGAACCTTATCCAGCACGCGTGCTCCATGAAGCACCAGTGGAGCGAAAACCTACGGAAGCTTCAGTGCCTTCCTGAAGAAGAGAAAGACCTGGGACAGATCTTCACCAGCTGGAAGTGTACAGCAGCTGAGGCTGGTGAGTGCTGCCTCCCTTGCATGCACAGGGTTGGGCTCTTGCCTCCTCTGTATCGCAGGATTGGACTATCACCATCAGACCTTCTGTTCAGTTCCATGGCAAGCTTGGTGGCTTTCTTGTTTCTTTTCCCTGCTGTGAGGATGACGCTTATTGCTTATCAATAATGTGTTATGGAAGTCCTGGCTGCCCTGAGGTAGGACAAGACCCTGCTATACCTGCAGCATCTAGCATACCTCTGCCTCATGGGGCTTGTGGGTGGTGGCTCTGAAGCACCAAATATTTGCACATGTTCATTTTGTAATATTTTGTAATATTTGAGTGTCTAGAGATACCACTGCATTAGGACAGCTCTAACAAACTTGTGTACTATACTTTTAGTAGATATTTTGCAATGCATCAAGTGATGTCCTGAGGTGCAAACCTGTCCCAGTTTGTTCATTGGTTTCTAGTATTTCAGACACATTGAATCGTGAGGAGGAGCTCGTTGAAAGGGGTGGGCGGGAGATGGGGAGAGTGTTGGTCTGTTTTCTATGTCTCCTCTTGACATAGTGGATAAGGTGAAGGGCTTGGATGAAGCATATACTTCTACAGAAAGGACAATAGGAAAGGGATTGCAGCTGTGAATCTAGCAAGAGAAAAGGTGCCTTAAAGGGGACAGTTAGGCTGGACAGAACAGAAAATGTACTTTGTTTAATCATTTAAAGGGTTAAAAAGTTTTTTATGTTGGGGAAAAGCAAGACATCATTAAGTTCTCTTTGGAGGGAGGAGGAGGAGGAGAGACTGCCCAAGTCGGCTGGTACATGTGCTGTCAGTAATGTGAAGATGCTGGAGCTGGGGGTATGCCAGCAAAACTCGTCAGAGCTCTCCTCAGCTTCAGCCAGGACTTTCCTCCAGGACTGCTGTTGAAATGGTTAAATCTTACAGAAAAGTGCTCTGAGGACCTGGCATTCCTCAATTAATGTGCATAGAGACAAGGAAAGTGATTTTAGCTTAAAGGCATTGAGAAAGGAAAGCAGCACCACTGGAGGAAAATGCGTGTGGGTCTTAGAAATGTCTCTTGAATTAACACTTGGGTTGCGTTGCTGTTATTCATGTTAGTAACAAGGATGTGAAATAGTTTCAAAACACCCAGAAAGTAAAAGAGGGGAATTTTCAGTAAGAGTTAAATTCAGTCTCATGGAAAAAAGTGACCGATCTGTGAACTCAGCAGCCCAGTGGCGTGGAGGGCATGGAACATGCTTTCCCAAAGGTCACGGTGACCCTGGAGGGGAAAGCAGCTCTCAGAGCTGTTCTGCTTCTCTGGGGTGCCCTGCTGTAAAAAAAATATTCATATTTCAAAAGGATATGTTGAAGTGTTATATGGTTTGTGAGTTTTCTTTAAAGCAAAATGGACAGAGAGGAGAAACCATCTGTGCCCTTTTGTGATACACAGAACAATCTTGGAAACCCTTGTTTACTTTAAAAATACGTGTTTACCTTGTCTTTTACTTCAGAAACTTTATCTTTCCTTGTATGTCTGCCAGGATTATGACATTGCAGGTACTGAGACTGCAGAAGCTGACTAGCTGAGAGGGAAAATGGTCTTTTGACCATTTAAAAAAAAACTTTTTTTTTTTTATTTAGTTAAAAGTCTTGATAAGTCACTACAGGGAAGTCTCATTTAAAAATTATTTTACTTTTTCAAATGGTCTGAATTTCCTTTAAGCTTGTTGGTTCTTCAGCAAAAACTGACAGCAACAAGACACTAACAATTTATTGTATTTTATTTCAAAGGTTAAAAATACAAGTAAAGATAAAACTCTAGGATTCAGGGGGATCAGGGAACCTCTGATCCATTTTGGAGGTCTCATTGACCTGAGATATTTGATTTCAAACACTTTTCCAGCCCATTGTTGAGCAGAACTGAGCAGACACACCTTGCTAGTGTGCTGGTGGCCAGCATGTGCTGGTCTGGTTGGACCCACAGTGATGGGAGTTGGATTTGGCTGCAGCACCCCCATGGGAGAGATCAGGTGCTTTCATCTACCGTTTATTCTGATCCCATTATGGTATCAGAACATCAACTCGAATATACAGTGGGGTGGTCCTGTTGCCCCAGCTGGGCTGAGGACGTATCCTGGGAGAAGGCACATCAGGACGCCACAAGGATGGCATCCATCAGGGGTGGGCCTCACAGCAGGCAAGATCAGCCTCATGCAAGGCACAACAGCAATTTGTTTCTCAGCTTTAATTTATTCAGTGTAATTATTTAATGCGTAAAAAGATCTCCTTCCCGCATCCTGATCCTTCTCTTTTTTCTGTGAGTTTTAAACTCCCAGTCTTGTTTTGCTGTAGTCTTGGCTGTCAGCAGTATGTAGCAGGAATATGCACACACCTGGGCTTCAGTTCTCTCTTCTGTCATGTATGTTTTGTCTTGGTTTTGAACTTTGCTGGTGTGTTTGGCTGTTCCAGCCCTTCAGGAGAACAGCACATTCTGTGGGGCTTCACCGACGAGTCTTCCAAGCCCAGTGCTGCCAGTGTAGGAAATGCGCATCCTCCATGGCAGGGCTGCACTTTGGGTGTGCAACTGGCTCTCTGCCTTTCTTTCTCCCATCCAATACAATGGTGTATACTATATCCCTGTTACATTTTCTATTGTTTTTTTCTGAGGGCTAGGTGACTTCCCCTGCTGCCTTTTGATAAGGAGTCTCCGGTCTTCTCTCTGTTTCAGGCACCTTGAGAAGAAAGTGCTTTTCTGATCTGTGACACGTCTCTGTCAGGGGCCCAAAAGGATGGTGACTTTTTTGCTGGTTTGATGCATTACAAGTGCAGTGGGTTGTTTTGATGCTGCTGTTACTCTCTGGTAATTATCACTGTGATTCTCCCTCCCCTTCTACTTAATTACATTTGGTTTTAATTCAGTTTCCCTACACATATAATATCAGTTTGCCTTTTTTCCCCAAGGTGAGTCACATTTTGTTATCACTGCTATTTCTGAGAACTCATAAAACATTTCAGTCCTCGCAGCTTTTCTACCTCTGCAAAACTCCTTCCTGGGATGGGGCCCAGCTCTGGTCTGGCTGCCTGGGGAGGTTGTGGAGTATTCGTCCTGGGAGATGCTTGAAACCCAATGGGCAAGGACGAGGATGAGGTCCTGAGCACACCATGACTTGTGCCTGTCTTCTCTCCTTGTAGAACTGTAAGTACTCAGAGCAGGGCTAAGCTGGAAGAAAACCATTACCTTCTTGTGCTGGACTGTTTTCTTGCTGGTGTGGCTGGCCAGCTGTGGGTTCACCTCAGCAGTAGTGTGAAACATCATCCTTCTCCTCTGATTCGGAGAAAACTCCAGGAACAAACTTGCCAACAAAGTTTTCAAGCTGACAAGCAGGTATTCTTTATTGCAGTGCCGGGAGACACGGGGGATAGCTCCTCCTAACGTGTCATGCAAGCCGTCCTTTTATAGCCACTGGGCATACATACATATTCATGAGAATACATATGGATTACATTATTTTCCAGAAAGTTCCCCGCATGCGTACAAAATTGTGGTGGTGGTCTCTGAGGGCCCTTTACTTCTTCCAACAATCTTCATCACTTCTGGCCACCTTTGGAGCACGCACAATAGATGCTCATATCAGCTGAATTGGTTCGTTAGCACCAGAGACATAATAATCCTCCTGTCCTCCTACTTATCAGTTAGTTTAACTGTAGCCCATCCTGGACACCTGCCATTCCCAGATACTCCTTGTCCCTGTGTCCTGTTCTTCTAGACTGTTTTTCTTAAATTACATCAACAACTTATCTTGTACAAGAATTCTCAGTATGTTCTCTAGCTGTATTCTATTTTTTTTTCCTGTGTATCATGCACCTCAGTAATTTTCCATTGCTACTGTTACAAAGCCATGAAACTTAACATTACTTAGTACTGATTCTAAAGTTTTATATATTCCATTTTGTAATTTTGTGCCCCCCCTTGTCTCAAATCCCCCCTTTTTCTGTCCTTTTGCAAATTCTTTTGCAACATTTTATATATTGCCATTACCATCTAAAGTCTTTCTGAAATAATTTCTCATTTCTACTTGATGCTTAATTTCATTCCTTTTCCGGTCTTCATAATTTATCATAGATCATTTACAACACCAGAGGGAACATTGTATCATACCACAACTAATCAATATTAAGACAACATCAATATTCCTGCAACCAGTTGCCTCAACCAGGAGAGATCAGGTAACCATGAAGTTAACTTTTTCCATATTTCCTCAAAACCCCAGGAAGTGTCATCCATGGCCATTTCATGAAATACTTTAGTTTGTTTCCAAATTTCCTCCAGATCTATTTCAATTCTGCCACTTTGATCTATATAGGAACAGCAACTTTCATTGATTATGGAACAAACCCCTCCTTGTGAAGCCAGTAACATGTCCTAGGGCCATTTGGTTTTGTAATACCACTTTAGATAGGCTAGTTATCTCTTTTTGTTCCGCTCAGATTATATCAGTGGTTTTACTCTCTATTTTCCCCTATGGTTGCTGTGATATTTACAATTGCCTTCTCTAATTCACTTACTCCCAAAGACGGAATTAGCCCTCTTACAAAACTATGAAATGCAGTGTGCTATTCAATAATAGGGTTAAACCGTCACCTAATCCGTTTAGCAAACCTTCTCATCCAGGTCCCAGAAGGATACCTGTCAATAATAGTAAAATTGGGTATCACAGCACCTAAGGTGCATGCCCCCTTCCAGTTGGGGGGTAGAGTCTTATGAGCATTTTTTCCACATAACCAATACCATCCTTTCCCTTTAGGAACAGGCCACCACTGAACTACGATACCATTCTGTATTAATAGTGTGATTGCAATTTGAATGGTGACCTACATCTGTGGCATTTAAAAAAGCATGATCTCCTGCCCTGGTTCCTGGTGTAATACATCTTTGTGCACAGGTATAATATTTATTACCTGGATTAACATTAACTATTCCAAATATTATCCTTTCCCTTGGATATAGATTGCTAGTG